CATCTTCTGCCAGGATGTGTAGTTGACTTTCCTCTGCTCCTGAGACTGCTGTTCCTGTGGTCTTTTCCTGGCACCTCACATCTTCCCCATCACACTGCTTCCCAGAGCCACAGTGATCCCACCGAGTCCGTGATGACTCTGCACTGCTAATGTGGAGAGGTTCCATCATCTGGGTCACCTGCAACAGGAAGATTTACTGCTTCAAATTCTGAAGGCAAAAGAAAGAATAAACAGCACAGATGCTATTTTTGCTTTCACTCACAAACGCCTTTCCATTTTTAGGAATCCTTGCAAAATCTTCTGATGAAGCCCTGTGTTGTTATTGCCGTGTCAGTTCAGTGACATCTCTATGCTTTAGGGTGAGCTGTTTCAACAAAGCAGCTGTTTGATTGTGATGCCAGCTCTAAATGGGAGGAAGGGCTAAGGCTTGGGGTAGGGAACAAGTGAACTTGGGGCATCTGCTCCTCCCCAGACTGTTCCTAGGTGTAGAGATGGTGGAGGCCCCGATAACCCTCATCTTTCAGGCAGATGCCACCCACTTTCTTGTCATCCAAACAACCCTACCTCTGAGAAGAACTGGAGAAGACTGTCATCTTCACATGGCTGCTCTGCCTTCTGGTAGTCTTCACTATCATCCCCCCAGAGAGGCCCACTGAACTCCAGCTCATGGACTGCCTCTTGGCTGCTCTCCTCTAGCTTCCCCATGGCCACCTCTTCAGTATTCCTCCAGCTCCCCATGTCCAGGTCCAAGCTTGAATCCCAGCTACGAAGAGACTGGAAGTCACCGTTCTTCTCTGACTCGCTGTGAGACTCTATCTCAGACTCCCACCACACCCAGGTATGTCCCACCTGCAAACAAACATAAAGAGACAGCAATGTCTTTGTACCCTGATCCAGAACTGCAAAGCCCAGCTCATGTCCTGGCCTACTCGGAGAGCCAAAGCATGGGAAGAACTCTGTGGTGAGCAGCCTGCATCTGAGCCCACCTCATGGCATATGGCAGGGCTGTAGCTCTGCAACACAAACCACCACTTCAGAGCAACTGAATTTCAGGTTTTCTGGTGCCTGTGCTGTGCACTCCCCCTGCTCAGGGGTCTGTGAGTTACTGTGCTCGGGCGATGCATATTTAAGGTGCCAAAAGCATTCAGTAGAAAGCTGAAACCATGTTATGCTGGGGCTCCTGAGGGCCAACTGAGATAGTTGTGAAGAAGGTGCTCCAAGGACAACTCACTGAAGTTCCCTTTGCTGCCCATTTACTTTTATACTTTTTATATAAAAACTTTTTATACTGGAAATAGTTTATTGAAAACCCTACAGGCATTTTTTTTTTGACAGTGACAAATGTGATATGGATGGATGGTAGCATCATGTGTACCCATCGAGAAGAATTATAACCACACGCTGACACACACAGTTCTACACAGCCTAGAAAATAAAAGCATTCTTTTAAGGAAGAAACCATTCATTTCATCTCTGTTCACTAGTCCATGCGTAAGTTTCTTCTGCTGCATAAATCCACTGTGAGTTCTCCAAGTCATGGGATTGCTTTCAGACTCAGTTAACAAGTAAAGGCTGCAAGAAAAATCTGCATCTTGCCACTGAACCTAGCTGCTGGATGCTGTACCTACGGAGAATCCTATGCATTAATTAGCAGTGTCTTTACAGTTTTAATTATGTCCGACCTAATTTTCCCAGAGTTTTGAACAAGCACATTTCTCACCGGTTTCAGGGCTGCTAGCACAGCTAGAGATACAGCTTATGGTGCATAACTGGGAGAAACAAGGAATCCACTGGATTTGGGATGAGAAAACTTGTTTGCTTGCTTTCTGAACTAGGAGCCAGGATCTAAAAGGCTGTTCTGAAACCTCTTTCAAAGTCAGCTTCAGTGGAATCAGATGAAATGTGATGAGGTAAGAGAGAACATTACCTGCTCTCAGCTTCCAGCTGAAGGAGTTGGGCAAACTGTGATTTCATCTGAAGAGTAACCCCATGCCTAAAGTGCTTTCCTGCACCAGCAGCAGAGCTGGCTGCACACGCAGAACCAGCCACCACAGCTCAGCTAAGAACCAAAAAGCCTTAGCCCAGGGTAATCCAATCATTTGTCATCGTCTTTTTGTATTCCAGTTGAGAGTGGTAAGGATTTTCAAATCAGGAAGCCCAGGGAACTTGGGCATAAGCATCGATTAAAAAGCTCTTCGGCCTTATGTTCAGTTTTACTAAATCCTGGGAGACTCAAGATGCCAGAGAGCAGAGCAGCAGCATCAGTGCAAGACAAGTGGGATGAACAAAATAATTACAGACGGCTTAGTTCCACACCAATTCTGTACCAAAAAAAAAAAAGGACAAAATGATACAGACTTCAGCTCTTAATTAAGAACTGGCTGACAGCTCTTAATTATGTTGGCTACATAAGTCACCAGCAAGGAATCATTATCCAATTGGAAAGTTTTAGTTTGCTTTGCAGAGAGGCACTGCGCAACCTTCACTGATATGAGAAGCTGTTTGAAATAAAGATGATGGCCTTTAAAGGGAACGTACATGTCAAAACAAGAAAAATGATAAAAGCTTGAACCCAGGTACATGAAACACAGAATCCACAATAAAGTAGGAAAAAAAAAAAAAGGCGAATAAAAAAAAGAAAAAAAGAACAATTTGCTAAAGACATAAAAGCAAATAACAACAACAAACCCCATCAAAAACATCAGAAGCAGAGAGCTGCCAGATGATCAGTGGGGATGACGCATGATCAGTGCCAAACATCGCAGTGGAAAATAGGGCCAGTTGGAAAAACCAAATTAATCATCGTTATCAGCAGTTGCCACAGAGGAGATCACAGGAGACTTTCATTTGGAATGGGTCTGGGAGACTGTTTCTAATTAAAATGTCAACGGGGGAGATTTTAGAACAATTTGAGGCAGGGAGTAAACCTTCAACCCCCCTAGGATTCACTTATGGACCCTAAAAGAGCTTAAATATAATGTGACTACGCCTATATTGTGTGACCTGCCATTTAAGTTAGCCTCAACACAGGAAAGAAAGAGCCCAACCCCTGGCTGTTGGGAGATGCAGCACAATAAGCCTCAGCTCTGCACTAGACAGATTAGAATGAAGTATTACGAAGAATAGAATTAGTAGCCAGAGAGCAAGATGATGAACTGGGAAGGAAGCAATGGGACTCTGTAGAGAAAATAATGTCTTAGATTTTAAAGATCTTAAATGGCACTAAAGACTATTAAAATGTTATAGGCCAAGAGAAAAGGTTCTTTGAGAGAAAAATACCCGGTTAAGAGAAGAAACCAACAGTAGGAATGAACAGCAATGCTTTCCATAATGAAAGCAAGTTACTAGTGAGCATGCTAAAGGTCCTCCCAATTTTTCAACACGGACAGACGGGGCAGAGGTGTTACAGAGAGGGAACCAGACTCTTCTCAGTGGCCAACAATGAAAGGAGAGGGGGTAGCGATGACAAGCTGCAGCAAAGGGAATTCAGACTGGATGAATGTTTACTCTGTGAGGATGGGTAAGCAATGAAACCAGTTGTCTGGAGGCGTTAGGGAATCTCCATTCTTGGAGATTTTCAGAACTTGACTAAACAAGGCTCTGAGAAACCCGATCTTACTTTGAAGCTGGCCCAGCTTTGAGCAGCAGTTGCAGTAGATGAATATGCAGAGGTCATAAAATCATAACTAATATGCGATACTATCTTACTTAGAACCACAGTATCAGAGAATGGTTTGGGTTGAAAGGGAACCTTCAAAAGTCTTTTAGTCCAACCCCTCATCAATAAGCAGGAACATCTTTAATTAGATCTGGTTGCTCAGAGCCCTGTCCAGCCTGACCTTGAACATTTCCAGGGATGGGGCACCTACCACCTCTGGGCAACCTGTGCCAGTGTCTTACCACCCTCATCATAAAAATTTCCTTCCTGTATCTAATCTGAATCTACCCTCTTTCAGTTTAAAATCACTACCCCTTGTTCTACTGCAACAGCATCCATGAAAAAGTATGTCCACAACTCGAATTATTTTCCATAAAACACATGAAAGTCAAAAGAACCCTGTAACCTTTTGTGCTATGAAATTAGCAACCAGTAATATCCGGAAACTGACGACATAAAAATTTGTACCAGAAATTTGTCCCAGTTTTAGTAGTGAAGGACAATTAACCAGTAAGCAAACCAAAGGATTCCACATCAGTAGAGCAACTCTTTGTGGAGATACCCCTCAGCAAGCGCAACCAACTTCAACACAAAACTTGTGAAAATCAAGAGCTCTTACAAGGTAAGGCAACAATCCCTCTGGTCTTAATTGCAGTGACTCAGGTTCCTGCAACCTTTGTCAAAAAGCTGCACCCTGTATATTCTGCAGAGTGTAGACCACTCCCAGCTGCAGCAAGCATCAGGAAGGATCATGTTGGGGTTTTTCCTCCCCCTGGAAGTTCACGTGGGCAGAAAATACACAAGTTTCATCTCACAGGTCATATGAGCAGAAAATAAGACTTGAGAATTGTCACAGACAACTTAAACTTCACTTAAGCATCCATGTTGCTGAAGAAAATAACCGTAAATTCCAGTACAGAAGCAGTTCACGAGCTCAGATATGAAACCAGGTACTGGCCTGCCTACAGCTGCTGGAATCACAGATTTTCACTCCTTACAAAACTCTGGGAAAGAATGTGAGGCACATTTCAATACATTGCTCCGACAAGACTGTAGCATTTAACTTCTCACAGTTAGGTCCCCTGCTTCACCACAGTGCCACATTCTCACATATTCAAGCACGGAATCTTCCCCTCCATCCAAGCACGACGCAACATACCCATGATTGATGGATTGTCTCTAATGTCAACGCTCTGCCATGCTTGTGTGCTACACGGATAACTAGAAGAGGGTTATATTTGTAGATATTCAAGACAGGTATGCACGCTTGTACAAAACCAGGGTTCCTCACTGCAGAGAGCTGCGATGCTCAGTACACTGCACACTGTACGCTGGATTTGTTCCCAGACTTTAATATACATACACATTTACACATCACTAGTAAAAATCTGTACACTTCACATTACAGTACATACAAGCCACCAGTTGCTAGCTAACACCAGAACACTGATGAAGCCCAAGATGACTGCCCTAAAACAGGCAGGGGGGCTAGTCTTCCCCTCCAGGGAAGTTTCTTTGGGTTACACACTCTGACGAGACACTGCTTTCCAGAGGGGCAAGCGAAGAAGGTGGGACAGGTCCCAGAAATGGACCTGCAACTTTTCTTCCTCCTCCAACAGCTATTAACAGCGTCTTGCTTGCACTCCAGCTCTGGGTGCCAGGTGCTGGGGTTTTCTGTCTGCCTGCAGCATCATTTCTTCATCTTCATGTCTGCCTCGATGGCACAGCGACGCCCTCTGGTGCCTCCGTCCTAGTGACAAGGCAAACAACAAGTTATGCAACCTGAAACATAAAACACTTCCTCCAGCACTCGGGGAGGTAAAGAACTGTACATCTGATAACAAGTTTTCATACCTTCCAAACAGGAAAGCTTCCAAAGGGAAGCTGTCCTAAGACGGCCTGCCTGCAGACCTACCTAAAGTTCACCCTGGACACAGCACAGGTGCCGGGATGTGCAGCATCTCTGTGCACTGTGGGCAGTCAGGGCAGAGAGAGGCAACAAGGCTCTCACCCAGACAGATGCTTGTGGAGCCTGTACAGTGCAGGCTTTCTCCTAAGCAGCAGATTCTAGCTTGGCTCTTAAGGTGGGAAGAGGAAACTGCTGACTAACCTACCTTATCAGCTGCTGATCCCTATGGGAAGTGCTCCTCCAGTTGAGTGACCCTGGCTCCCTAGTTTCTCCCTAGTTTCTCCGCACAGCTCCTTTCCATGAGCAGGAGGCGAGCTGAGAGCTTCCTTTGATCCGCTGCCCTCTCTCTCTGGCTGACATGCTGACTCTCCTGGAGTACTCCTCTGTCTTTAGACATACGCGAGAGAAAAAAACAACTCTCCATCTTCCTCCCCTTTCTCCTCCCCACAACTCAGAGACTTGGAGTTTCCTGGAGGGAATATTTTTCCAAACACCTTCAGATCACCACAGGCACAGAGCAAGATATTTCTGCAGAGTATCTCATTTGCTTTCTGGACCATGATTGATAAAGGAGTACACAGCTGACTCCTTACTTTTCCCAAGACCTTTTGTACTGTCTCGAACGTGCAGAAGGGGCAGCTGTATATGCATGAGAGATGTAGTAACTACAGCACTGCACCACTTGGTCTGTCTTCCCGCTTACATGGAAAGAAAGCAGGAGAGAAGTTGTGGAAGAAAGCAAAGGCAGATGACAATACAAGAACACTTGGAACCAGAAGACTGAAGCCCCTCCCACTCACCCATGCTGAGGATAAGGGATCGAGATGCTTCTTCTCTAATGATCCCAGTTGTATAGCCCCTAAGTTAAACACACACCGCTGCAATGCTAAGGATGCTGTGACAGTGCAGTGATCACCCAGACAAAGAGCAGAGCACACTGCCAGCAGTACTGCAGTACCTGCTGGAGCCTTTCAATACTTACAAAGAGAGAGAGAAGGAAGGCAGGAGAGCCCATTGGGACACTGTCCTGTTAAAAGGCCAAACAGAAGGACTTATCAGATATCAGGTATGGAAATGCACACACCACAGAAGCACCAAGCCCACACAATAGCATAGAGAAACATGTGCCCTACTCCCCTTCCCGCATGGCATCAGTTTTATGCAGCAGGAACATAAAAATGCACAAAAGAGGGATACTGCGAAGAATAAGAATGCTAGGAAAGGGATATTCCCTCATCCATGGAAAGGCCTAGTCTACCAATTTCTGCACTGTGCAGTTGCCACTAGACCTAAACAGGCAGTCCTTGCTGTCACAATGCTGTGTGCACTGGATGACAGCACTTGAGATCATTTGATCAGTTTGGACGTGTCTTTACAGAAGAAAAAACCCAGACAAACCTGGATTGATATTAGTTTAGATCAACGTGGAAGTCAAAGGTTCTCTGGTGCATTTTACACAGGAAACCAGAACGGAGTGATTCCCTGGTTCTAAAATTCTGACTGTGAAGTGAAGGACAGGGCACAGGCTACTCTTCCAGTTCTCCGCACCTTCACCCTCCTGCCATATTATGCCTCTTCC